CTTGAGCCACAGGCGCCGAGCTGAGCCTGAAGTTTTAATAGCTCTAAATTGAACATTTGGGGGTCCCAATATGCAGGAATCAAGGAAAGTTCTTGCAGAATGGAGATTTGACTTGGATAGAATTGGTCCATACTTACAAGTCAGTCTGGGCTCTTCTGATTTCTGAGTTGCCTGATCCCAAATTGAACAGCCTACGTTTAGGGTCAGAAATGAGTTAAGGAAAATAATCTTTAATGGACCCTGTTGCTTTTCTTTATAGGGATACCAGCAATGGGTATGTCAAGACTGGAAACTTCTAGATTCTGTCTTAGGTCTGAGCCTAGGCAGGTTCAGCCCCATCCCTGACCTTTTGAGCTATTTCTCTGTTGCAGTTCTTGTTTCTAGCACCCAGTCTTGGAAAGGTGGCTTTTGGTATGGTGGGAAATACCTGTGGTTTAACTTTTGACTTGAATTTGCTTCATTTATCTTTGGTACATGGGGGCAGTTCATCTAGGGTCTTGGTCTCTCAAAACTTATAGTACAGTGGCAGGATTCCAAACTCCTGCTCTCAAGCAATCTGCCTTAGCTTCCCATAGTGTTAGGATTGCAGGTGTGAGCTCCCTCCATGCCTGGCCCTTCACTCTGGGAGGCTGAGGTGTGTGGATTGCCTGAGCTCACAGCTTTGAGACCAGCCTGACGAAGAGCAAGACCCTGTCTCTAAATAGAAATAGCTGGCCATTGTGGCGGGCTCCTATATAGTCCAGTTACTTGAGAGGCTGAGGCAAGAGAATCACATGAGTTTGAGGTTTCTGTGATTTATGATGCCACGGCAGTCTACAGGGGGTGACAAAGTAAGACTATCTCAAAAAATTGTCTCCTATAGTCTTATCTCTGAGTCTTTGTTTTTGATAGTCTCACTGTATCTTGTCACAGCTCACAGCAATCTACCTCTTGGGCTCAAGCGATTCTCTTGCCTCAACCTCCCAAGTAGCTGAGACTACAGGTGACTGCCACAACGCCCGCCAGCTCTGGTGTATGTGGCTGGTGCCTTGGCTGCTTGAGCTACAGGCACCAAGCCCCCCACCCCACCTCCTTTTTTTTTCTGTAGAGCTAAAGGGTTATGCCAAAGTATGACATTGGTACAGACTGCAAAATGGAAGTTGAACTAAAGAATACAAGGTTTTTAACCAGTTTTGATGAAAATACTTAAAATTGTATATAAAACCAGCACATTGTACCCAATGACTGCATTGATATATACAGCTATGGTTTAATAAAAAAAAAAAAGATCTAGAACTTAGAGCAGTTTTTGTCAATTTAGCTATAAAGTTTTAACAGCCTTCAGATAAGAGATAAAAAATATAGTGGCCTGGCGCCTGTAGCTCAAGAGGCTAGGGTACCAGCCATATAAACCAGAGCTGGCAGGTTTGAATCCAGCCCAGGCCCACCAAATGACAAACTATAACCAAAAAATAGCCAAGTGTTGTGGGAACCTCTAGTCCCAGCTACTTGGGAGGCTGAGGCAAGAGGATTGGTTAAGTCCAAGAGTTTTGAGGTTACTGTGAGCTGTGAGCTCTACCCAGGGCAAGACCTTGAGACTATCTCTTAAAAAAAAATGTAATGGGGATGAGCATTAAATTTTGGTTTTCAGGATAATAGGCCCATCCTGTCTTCCTCTTGTCTTTAAACTGTTGTATTCCATGGTAGCCAATACCTAAGTTTTTTGAACTATCTTTTCCATAAGGTAAGCAAAGAAAAAAGGCTGGCTATAGAAATTAGGACCTTGGTGGTTTTTTTTTTTTTTTTGTAGTTTTTGGCTGGGGCTGGGTTTGAACCCACCACCTTTGGTATATGGGGCCAGCACCCTACCCAGGACCCTATTTTTTTATTGCAGAAAAAAACCAGACTCTTATATACCAAAATGTTAACAGTAGTTAACTCTGGGAGTTAAAAATGTTTTTGTGGGGTTTTTTTTTGTTTTTTGAGACAGAGCCTCTGTCACCCTGGGTAGAGTGGCCTAGTGTCAGCTCACAGCAACCTCAAACTCTTGGGCTTAAGTGATTCTCTTGCCTCAGCCTCCCAAGTAGCTGGGACTACAGGCACTTGCCACAATTTTTTGATTGTAGTTGTCATTGTTGGCCTGGGCCAGCTCTAACCCACCAGCCTCAGTGTATGTGGCTGACTCAGCTATAGGTGTGGAGCCTTCTCTTGACTTTTTTTTTTTTTTGAGACAGTTTGACTTTGTTACCCTCAGTAGAGTGCTGTAACATAGCTCACAGCAACCTCAAACTCCTGGACTAAAGCGATTCACTTGGATTGGCCTCCCAAGTAGCTGGGACTACAGGCATTTTTTTGTGTTTTCTAAGCATTGTTTGATTTTTGCAATCAGAATAAAAAGCTGGGTGTTGGGTGGGCACCTATAGCCCCAGGTACTCAAGAGGTGGAGGCAAGAGGATGGCTGGAGCTTAAAAGTTTGAGGTTTGCCTAGGCCTGGGGGCAGTGACTCACCTATAATCCCAGCACTGGAGGATCTCTATAGGCTAAGAGTTTTGAGACTAGCCTGGTGAACAAAGACCCTGTCTTTGAAAAGAACTATTATGGTTAATAGGGAGGCTGAGCCAGAAGGCTCACTTGGGCCAAGTTTAAGGTTGTGGTGAGCTGTATGTAATTGTTCTACTGCACTCCACCCTGAATGACACGAGCTCTGTTTCTTTTTTTTACAATTTTTTTTGCAGTTTTTGGCTGGGGCTGGGTTTGAACCCACCACCTCTGGTATGTGGGGCTGGCGCCCTACTCCCTGAGCCACAGGTGCTGCCCGAGACCCTGTTTCTTTTTTTTTGAGACAGAGTCTCACTTTATCACCCTCAGTAGAGTGCCCTGGCAGCATCACACAGCTCACAGCAACCTCCCAACACCTGGGCTTAGGTGATTCTCTTGCCTCAGTCTCCCAAATAGCTGGGACTACAGGCGCCTACCATGATACCCAGCTATTTTTTTGTTGTGGTTTGGCCAGGGCCAGGTTTAAACCTACCACCCTAGGTATATGGGGCTGGTGCCCTACTCAACTGAGCCACAGGCACCGCCCAAGACCGTTTCTTAATTGGTTTTGCCTTATTTTAAGCATTGCCTTTAAGAAGGCTGTTAAGGCTCGGCGCCTGTGGCTCAAGCAGCTAAGGCGCCAGCCACATACACCTAAGGTGG